GTCTTTTACTTATATGTCATTATCAATATTTATAGAAATCTATATTTACGATGGGGTGCTAAAATGTATTCAGTCCGAATAAAAGATCCTTCATAAAAGTTTTCAAGCCCACCTTCATAATAGTAACACTGTTTTTTTTAAATTTTTCTATTTATTTACTGTTTATTATCGGTTATTAGACAAATGACTATATCAAACACAGTTACTTCCGGTGTAAAAAAAAGCCTGTCACCATGCAGTGTTGATTCTTTGTCTGTACTTCCTTTTATATATTTTATATAAGCAGGCCAAAGATTAACGGAATTTTTCGTTCAGCATTACTCCCTAAGCAAAGGGATAAAACCGGTAAAACGTAAGGGGTTACTGAGTGTGAAAGAATATGAGAAAAAGGAAACATTATTAAGGAGAGAGAACAATAAAAGAACAGGAATTAAGAAGACATAGGTTGACCAATGATATTGCATTGAAATGTTCGAAGATCAAAGTTGACTGGAATGCAAGAGAGTTCCACAAGTGAGAAGTGCGAGAGAACAATGTTAGCATAGAATTTATAATTATCTAGCCATTTCAGCTCTAAAACTATGCGATCTTGCTCCGATCTAGACGTAGGCTTAAGTTTATAAAGACTAGGTAGCAAAAAGGAAAGCTCGTCAGAACAATTACCATGAAAATATTTATAGAAAAGGCAGGAGGAAGTTACATTACGTCTGTGACTGTAGTTGAGATTCCAGGTTAGGCCCAGTAACATTGCAGATGCTTCTTCGGATTTTATTAAGAATCTCTACTCATGTAGCAGAAACACCAGACCAGATGTGACCGCAATATTCAAGACATGTACAAATCTAATTTAGTGCCATGCGTAATACACGCTTAGGCGATCATGTATCTTTCGATACATGTGTGACGAGGCAGATTTTTTTCCCGCAGTAGGTTGGCATTTCTTTCTGCGGTAAACCAGTTGCCACCCAAGGATACAGAACCCATTGTCTCCTGCTATTTACCCATAGCTGTGGGGGGAGAAGAAGAGGAATCATATCTTTCTCAAGGGTATTAGAACGTTAGTGAATGTAAGATATATAAATGTGTAAGATAGATCAAAGCTTCCTAGCAGAAGACTTAGCAATTGATTCAATATAATCTTTCTATTTCAAATAAGTGGAAAATTTTAGCTCAAGAAGAAGCAATGAAATGAAAGAAAAGTAGTATTTAATTGTAATGCTCTCAAAAGCTAAGAATAAAGGATGAAAAACAGGAAGAATTCCAGGAATACATCTGTTTCGGATACTAAATACAGTGGAACCTCGGTTCACGAATTTAATTCGTTCCTGAAGGCTATTCGTAACCCGAAATGTTCGTAACCCGAAATGTTCGTAAACCGAAACTATTTTTCCAATAGGAATCAATGTAGATAAAAAAAAAAGAAGGTCACAGTGCAATAAAATTGGAGAAGAAAAGCACAGATGTATACAACACAGTTGTTCCGTTCGGGTTAACTCGATTCGTCAATATTGTTCGAGTATCGAAATTTTGTTCGATAACCGAGGCATTTTCATCTCGAATTTTTTGTTTGAAAACCGATTTGTTTGACATGTAAGACGTTTGAGAACCGAGGTTGCACTGTAGCCCTTAAATGACAATGGGGGAAAAAATAATAAAATACAATATAATAGCTGGAAAACATTTAATGAAAATAGAAAAATAAGGATAAACGATTGTATAATGATTGGAATGGCAAGGAAATTCGTCTGAAAAAACTTATAACATCACAAAGATCAGTTTAATGAGCAATGTTAGTGATAACTCTAAAAGGAAGAAAACGGTCGACGTCGATCAGGAAACAGATGAATATAAAAAAAAATATCGATATGATAAATTGACATAAGTGAAGGTGGGTGGACACGTAATAGAGAAAAAAAGAGAAAAATAGATAGAGCAAAAGGATGTTTGGTTGCTACTAAAGAGATTTGCTATTAACCAAACTTTTGTTTACTTTAGAAAAAAGCAGGACAAAAAAATCAGTCTCCATCGCCATTAAAGGATTCGGAAAAGGCTTCTGCGCAGCTGTGAAATCTTAATGACTGTTACGACTCTTTTGATGATGATACAGAGATAGAAATGTTAGATACTGATAGGCTGGTAAATAGTTTGGCAGGGAGGTATATATACACGAAACTGCGTAGTCAGAAGAATTAAAAAATAATTCAAATAAAGAGATTAATTTGCAGCAATTTTTTCAATTTTACATATAAATTTAAATAAAAAAAAAGCTTAATCGTAGTACCTTGTCTGTCGCTTTTAATGAAACATTCATAAATGAAGGATTGGTGCCTAAATACACAATTATCAAATTACACGACCCGGCAGCCAAAAAAGGACAATAACACCACTATATTCAGAAAAATCTTGTCTTAAAACAAATATATATATATATATATATATATATATATATATATATATATATATATATATATATATATATATATAATAAAAAAAAAATACTAAATTAAAATCTTCAGACACACTGGGTTGTAGATTAATATTCTTTCGTTTCTATTATTATTATTTCATTTAGATTCCTCGACTGGTTTCGGGAGAAGAAATATCTGCTATATATATATATATATATATAGTGAATTAGATTCGAACAAATACACACGTACAGACGCGGGTTCATATATCTTCTTTTCTGTGTCGTGAACCTTCAGGATATGGGATATCATGGCTCTTCACAACTTCCTATTCCTTGAAGTTCTTAATAATCTTCCTTTTTTTTTTACTATCTTTCGCATTTCATTTTCCTTTATGAACTGCGAGTACCAGATTCTCCGAACCCCCTTTCTTCATTATAAGACTCAAACATATCAGCAGCCACTTTTGTTTTTTTCCGGGTCTTTTTTGTTTTCATTTTCCTTAAAACACACACACACACACACACACACACACACACATATATATATATATATATATATATATATGTGTGTATAAAGAGAGAGAGAGAGAGGTGGGGAGAGAGACGTGGATGGAAATATATATTTTGACACAGATAGCTATAGAGAAGATAGATCAAGTCAGAAATATAGAACAACACCATTTTCAATCTCTTTCTTTTCATTCTTTTTTTTTTTTTTTTTTTTCATATCTTTAACGTCACAGGTCACTTGGGTTGTTGTGATGCGGCTTACCCTCGAGTGGCCGCACTAAATCGAGCGACAGACGCGTGCTATTAGCCCCCTGTTGTGAAGATGCGACAGATCTTCGCATGAGGCTAGCAGTCTGCTCGCGGCCAGCGCCTGTTTCGGGTGATAGGTCTAATGAAATGCTCGACTCAAGGGGTCGACTGGTCGCTTTTGTAACTCTACAAAGACGCCGTTCATCCTCTTTTGCAAGAAGAAGGAAAAAAAGAAACGCGGAATATCTCGTGAACCGAAGCCCAGAACGTTCTCACCGTCACGATGTTGCTTACATGCAACTAATTTTTTTTTTCTAAATCTTTGATACGAGTTGTTGTATCTGTGGTGGCTCATGTAGTAAAAATACAATGTAAACAGAGATTGTTATTGCAAACATAGCCAATTGGTGTTCGAATTTGTTAGCCGTATTGGAATGGGTCTCCTTCATTTATATTAGGTTTACTTAGAATCGAACTCACTGAAAACGCACTGAATGAACATGCGAATTATTTTCTCTTTGGCAGGTTATGAACTGTTAAAAAAAGCCAATCCTCACTTAACGACTTGACTTAAGGAACCCTGGACATCTAACCGACTATAAATCACGCAAAATAATAATAATAATAATAAAAAAACAAAACAAAAAAAAACAAAGAAATAAATTCAACCAGTTGGTATTGTATATTAAGCTTTAATCTTAGTAGCTTTCTATTTTTTTCTCAAAATGAATCAAAAGAAATAAAAAGAATAAACAAAGTGAAACATAAGTAAAAAAAAATACTTTCATTTACAGTCTGCAAACCGAAGTATTGTACCGATTTTGAAATTTGTTCTTTATGTAAACTACATTTTCGAACAGGCAATGGAATTATTTCAAAAAATTATCCGCTGACTGTTTGAAAAATCCTGCAAATTTAATTTTACAAGGTAAAAATGATCATTTACATAATGGTATCTTAATTCTGATTGTATGAAATATATTACTCTGTTTGGTTAATAACATGGAGCTCTATGAATGAATCAGTCTTAATATTTAATAATTTATATTGTGTTAATAGGATTCACTTGAATTATATACTAACGGATTACTACCTATACATACATATATATATTTATATATATATATATATATATATATATATATATATATATATATATATATACACACACAGATAGAGATAGTGAGAGAAAGAGACAGAGAAAGAGAAACAAATGTAAACATGTAAAAATCGGTACACAATTGCAGTCGTGTTTCGATGAGTATCAACGCATCTCGTCAGGTGATTTCTTACGTTTTTTCTTGCGATTTTACATGATTTCGGTGTAATATCATAATATATATATATATATATATATATATATATATATATATATGTATAATTATTTATTTAAAAATATGATTCCAACGCTATGCTCTACTTTTGTATCGAGCACTATTTTTTTTTAAATAACAAAAAATACTAAAGAACTTTGGATTATTTACCTAACGAGTTCTTTCCTATTTTCTATATATTTTACACACACACACACACACACACACACACACACACACACACACACATATATATATATATATATATATATATATATATATATATATATATATATATATATATATACGAAACTCTAGAGTCGAGAAGCTAAGTGACAAAAGAATGTTATAAAACGACAAGATGTCATACAAGAACATATTTCTGTCAAACTTTTCATTGGATCAGAGTGCGTTAATATGAAAGCTGACCTTGAAAGCTATTACGAATAAGTTCGTTTGTTTATAACAATTTTTGTCTTTTGCCACGCAAAGCGTAGTGAATATCTATACGTACTTACATGTACATATATTATATTTATTATCCATGTTCTTTCTTTCTATCTATCTATCTATCTATCTATCTATCTATCTATCTATCTATCTATCTATCTATCATAGTATCCATGTCCATTTAACAACTACTGCTTTTTAATATCTAACTTACCACAGGTTATTCATACCTATCTATCTATTCATATCTCTCTCTCTCTCTCTCTCTCTATCTATCTATCTATCTAGCCTCTTCTTACTGATATCTGTGTTACAGAGTAAATAGTCTGTCGTTGTACGCAATTAGCCAAGTGTTTTTCGCATGCTATTAATTTGGAAATTGCTTTCAGTCTGTGATCGACGTTTACGGGTTCATGCCCCGTTGAAGCCTCATTATTCGGTCCCGGAATTATTTTTCATTTCAGCTTTTAAACTGTATTGCTTCATAAAAGAACAATTGTTTTCACAATCCCATGGATTTTGTAATCGCTGAAACCAGTAGCAACTAGGAATTTTGCAATCCTCATAGGCAATCTGTTTTGAATTGAGTTGGTCTTCTAGGATGGTTGCCAACCAAGGCTAACGGGACCAGTTTGCGCTGCTATTTAACCCATAGACGGGGGAGATGATTAAAAACTGATCCATACTCTTCCGAATAAGTAGATACAACGAACTCTACTGGGGTCCGAACTCTGCTCACCGATTACTCATGCCGAGTAGCTAACCACTACATGTACATAAAGTCTGATGCTTAGATCCTTAGCAAATCTACTGCATGTGGAAGAGCTTCCTACTCTTGCTTCATTATTGTTTGCAGTTGTAATATGAAATAACCTATTAGCAGTTCCTTGTCGAGAAAGAGAAGAAATAAAGAATTTAATGTCTCATCTACATGATCTGAATACTCATTTTAATCATTTTGAGGTAACAGTTTGTCGTGGCTCTAGTAGTTTGTAATAAGGACTTCTCGTTGATTTACACCAAACATGGAAAAGTAAATTTTATTTCCCGAGTGAACATTCACTTTGGTTGAAACTGTCTTGAAGCTTGCCGCGATTTTCTTCGGTTTTGCTTCCCGTAATAAATCCAGTTTTATCGCCAATGTCTAACTTGTCCAGATATGACATTTCTCTTTCGACCCAGAAAAGAAAAAAAAATAATTCTGCCAAATATTTTACTTCTTCGCGTCCAGAGGTAACACGCTTTCCTATCTTTTAGTAAAAGACGTAAAATGATTTGAATAAATTTAAAAGATAGTTAAAAAAAAAAAAAAAAAATTCTCAGTATGAAAAAAGAATGCGTCAGGAACATTTGCATTAAGTACAATTTACACTACCGTGTAAATATGCGTAAATATACATAAACGTAAACATATATGTAAATGTATAAAACATAGGTGTATAAATATACCTAAACATTAATTTTGCATAGATGTGTAAATGTTATATAGGAATAAAGTGTTGTTTCCGACACTGTAGTTTGAACATAGATCACCAGAGGGCAAACACAGGCGATCCCATTTGAACTAAGTAGATCACGTGATAGTGAAGGAAATGTATATATGGGAATTAGAGTGAAGTCTAAAGGGCGACTCTTTTATTCTATTTTCTATTACCCTACGGATCACACTTCCTACGCTATCCTCTATCTCTGTATTTTTTATTATACTATTTCTGTATACTGATCACTATTCGGACCACTATTCAGTAGTTACTTTTTGAGCAAGTATTATCGAGCAAGTGTTATTAGTGGGAGTGTTATTCGAAGGCGTCTGACACTAGTATTGTTTAACGGCGTTACTAGAGTTGTATATGCAATTACAAAGTCTCTACTACAACGAGCTTTAGGAAAGTGACAACGCGTATTCGTTGACATTACAAAAGTTGCAACGAGTGTTTGTTGACATCACAAAAGTAAAGATACTTAAAAATGTAAGTCTGTATAATTGTGTCAACATACATAAATGTGAAACATATGTGTAAACATTAAAAATACATAAATTGGTAAAAATGCAAAAATACGTTGGAGTAATGGATAGCGTCTCTGCTTGAGGAATCCATATTTAGGAATCAAGAGTAAAAGCAAACAAAGAAGCAAATGTTTTAAATCAGGTAAGGATTCGTTGCTTTATGGAGATTTCTTTCATAGATAGATAGATAGATAGATAGATGCGTGCATTTGAACTCAAGCATGTCTATAATCATGGCTTTTCACAACTTCCTATCATTTGTAGCTCCATGCAATAACTATCCTCTTAATATCTCCTCCACCGATCTGCCATCCTTATACATATGTTTGTTAAATAGGTTACACACAATTTTTATCTCTTCCAGTTGCATTCAATATATCTTGTGTGTGACGAATTTTCCAAGCTCCCTTTCCTCATGATATGTTAGACAAATTTCTACTGTCTCTTGTAGAGTCTAAGAACAAGTGTCTGTTTCGTTTCCATTTTTCTTAAAAAAACTTCTTCTTTGCTCAAATGTTCCGACCATGTTATTCTCAGCATCCTTCTGTAAAATCACATCACTGTTGCTTCAGATCTTCATCTGAGAGGAAATTGCTAAGCACTGAGTGCCATATACGAGGACTGAGTTCAGTTAAGTACTTTTTTCTTTGTTTCTAACGATTTTTTCCTGTTTATTAAAGCACATATGTAGAATACATACGATTCAGACCCGTGCGTAAAATACATATAGTTCTTCTGTCGATTTCAATGTATGTGGCCTAACAGTTCAGTTTTAGAAATGAACCGCCAAATTACTCACACGCGTGATTTGATTGTATTGGTGAAGAATAGTGTAGGACCAATCACACTTTCCTGAAGGACGGATAGTCGAGAAATAGGGAAGAGCATGTTATGTCAATCTCCAAACCAAGTCTTCCTTTGGTTTGTATTCAGAGTACGCTGACATTTGTTGTAGCCTACTTACGGACGATAATATGTATGCCCCCATTCACATAAATACAGTAGTAAATACTGTATGTTGGTCTGCAGTCGGAAATTCGCCTCCAGCTGTGCTGGTCAAACTGTCTGACTCCGGGCAGAGACGGTCCCCAGATGACGCTATGTCGAAGGGCAGATTCTCGTTTCAGGAAACAACTACCTGACCCCATTTTATACGGGATCCATCGGGAATTTTTGACCGAACGTACGAACTCGGATACCCCACATTACATTCGGCCTTGTGCCACATCTTTCACGTGTGGAGTAGTTTGTAGATATCCTGCAGTTGGAGATTTGTCTTCAGCTTTGCTGGTCGATCTCTCTGCCACCGGTCAGGACACTGTTTGGGACCCGGGAGGAAATGAGCACACAACAAAAATCAAAGGAAATACTTCTACTCCTAATCCTCCTCCTCCTCACTCCCTCCTGTTTCTCCTCCTCCTCACCCCTCCTGCTTCTCCCCATCCTTCTCCTCCTCCTCCTCTTCCTCCTCCTCCTTCTCCTACTATTACTACTACTACTAATAATAATAACATTATTGTCTTGATCTTAATATAAAATCTTGTAACAAAAAACTGCTAATTTCCAACTAATTTTCAGGAGACGTTTAAGACGCACTTGATTCGGACCCAACTTTTCAAATGTTAATGTATTTAAATATGCGTTTTTTGTTTAATTGTAAATTATTATTATTTTTTTTTTTTACATTTGAACTTTTTCTTTTTATATACTTTCTGAACTGTATATTTGACTTGCATAACGAAATTCAAGAAGTAACATCTTAAAAAAAAATAATCTCCCTGTAAACAGTGTATCGTCGATTCAAAATATTAAGGATGCATTGATTTGATATGATGCAGGCATCGGACATCATTGCCAACTTCCGGTTTATTTCAACAGTAATTACAACAATTAGTTCTGTTTAAGGGTTTCGTCTAATCATGTTCATGATATTGAAAATTAAATCGAACTAACTTTATATTTATTAAATAAATATAATAACTACCCCTATATTTAAAAAATTAAATCGAACTACTCCTATATTGATAAAATAAATCGAAATACCCCCACATTTATTAAATAGATATAACTATCCATATATTTATAAAATAAATCGAGCTACCCCTAGACATACTAAATAAATATAACTACCCCTATATTTATAAAATAATCTAGTTACCCCTATAGATATTAAATAAATCTAACTATATATATATGTAATTTATTTATATTTATTTACTTAATAAATATACGGACGGTTAGATTGTTAAATAAATGTGTATACTTAGATTATTTATTTAGAATGTTTTTAAATACGACATTACTTTCTAAACAACCAAATTCTCTTTTCTATATATATATATATATATATATATATATATATATATATATATATATATAGGTTCGAAAAAAAAGAACAAATCAAAGAAAGAATATAATAGCATTATATGTAGTTACGTGCGTGAGACGTTACAAGCATTAATCTGGATGTATACTGAAAATGTTGAGGTATAAACACACACACACAAAACACATGTGTTAATACAATCACTCATACATACAGTTTCCGTATAGGTATATACATATACATATATGCTTGAAGAGATATGTGTGTGTATGATTCTATGTATGATAGCGTATTTTTGATTCGATATTACATTGCGCGCGTGTCTGTCCATGCGCATGCGAATTAGGAAATCAGAGTGGTGGTGGTGGTGGGGGTGAGGATTCTGTTGGGGCTTGAGATGCGAAGATGTCATTTGGCTAACAGGTACACAAAACATATTTTCTAACTTCAAAGAATCCACGTACTTTGTTCTTTCCTCTTAAGTCAGACGCCCCAGAATGGGCAAGTCGAGAAGGAAAAGAAATTATCAAGGAAAAATAGAATTATCTGTGGCCCTGTCGCTTTATTATTGCACATATGTATGGAGGTTTCTCTGTACACATTAGTATGAAGAGTGACATTGATAGATATACAGAAATACCTGAAAAAATATTTATCATTCAGGCAATTGTTTGGAAATCATACACGGACAAAGCGTAACATCTCTTCAAATATGCACTCATATGATATTTTCATAAATAAGTAAAAGCAAATATCTATCTATCTATCTATCTATCTATCTATCTATCTATATATATATATATATATATATATATATATATATAATGCTTGTCGGTTTACATATCGATCTATCTATCTATGCTTGTCTGTTTATATACCTGTCTATCTATTTATGCTTGTCAGTTTACATATCTATCTATCTATCTATCTATCTATCTATCTCTCTCTCTATATATATATATATATGCTTGTCGGTTTACATATCTATCTATCTATGCTTGTCTGTTTATATACCTGTCTATCTATTTATGCATGTCTGTTTACATATCTATCTATCTATCTATCTATCTATCTATCTATCTATCTATCTATCTATCTATCTATCTATTGAGTGTAAGAACAGTAAAATTATGTTATTGCTCAAAGTAGAATCCAATAGTATTATAAAAACCTCGAAGATTTCCACTAAGATATCTTTAATCATTTCTAAGATACAACGGTTCAAAGCTTAATCTAACAAATGGACAATTTTGCTTTTTTACCGATTCGGACAATTTTGGTGTTACAGCCGGTATATATATATATATATATATATATATATATATATATATATATATATATATATATATATATATTACATAAGAAAATCAAAATTACCTCATGAATATAGACTATTTCAGATGACGTCAATGCAAATCATATGTGCTGGTGTCTGGCTGTCGGTTCCTACGAACTGAGCTGCTTGACCCTCATACGTCGAATATATACATACATACATATATATATATATATATATATATGTATATATATATATATATATACATATATATATATATATCGTATCGTGTGATATATATATATATATATATATATATATATACGCGTATCATGTGATCTTTAAGACCTAAATTTTAAGCTAAAAAAAACAGTACATGCGCTAAATTTCTATCTCGTGTATGATGCCAGCCTCTTAAATTTAGCTTCACAATTAGGTCCTCAAAAGTCGCATCATACGCGAGTATAGACGGTATAAGAAGGTACTTCACAGTCCTTTTCTCTAAAGCTGACCATGTACGCAACTCAAACCTCAGATATAATTCTTTAAATTTCGCCCATACATTATAACGTTTCTGCGGATATGTTGTCATTCCGGATAAAGCAAATTTTAAGAATAAAACCACTTCATTTCCCCGGCCTCTGCCATCAGGTTCTGCTGTATTCTAGTTAACGTTTTCTGACTTTTTTGTTACAATTTGATGCCTATTGTGCAAAAGGTTTCATCATTTCCGTATTTCATCTCAACTTTTCCTCTCGCAATAACGATTTCTTCTTTTCCTTTTTCATCGTCTTTCGACTCTTTTTGATCGCCTTCCAACATTTTGAGATTCTTGCTAATATCACACCGGCTTATAAAAACAAAAAGAGCTGCTGGCCTTGAATCTATAAAACCTAGCGAAGGTCAATCATGTTACGAGCGAAAATTGCCGTTTCTTGCTGAATTTGACTAAGCGTTTCTCACCGGCAATTACGACAAAATCGTGGAAAATGTTGCTACTTCTGCCAAAACGTGATTATCGTATCTAAAGCGCCTCGACGTGATTTCGCAGGAGGTTCGACCTCCCGGCCACACGCCTACGTAACGGCGGCAAAAATCAGAAAAATAGCGCCAAATAACATTTGCTAGGATAATCAGATCAACAGTTTCTCCTAGAAAATGCCCGTATTCAAAACAGAATAAAGAGTCGAGAATGCGGCTATTTTGTTTGAGGGCACTGTAGCCGCAGGCATTGCCCGGGGCACTTAATGCTGGGAAAAGGATAACATTGTTGCTGGGTTGCTGATGTTGATTGGCTTAAGGAAGAGGAGAGAAGATCAACATTCAATTTTAATAAACAGAAAAGAAGTTTTCAGAGTAGAAATGAATTTTATATATACATTCGTTTATGTTTAGATGTATACGAATTCTTATAGGCAAATATTCACGCACAATATTTTTCCTACACATATATATTCACTCTGTTATATATATATATATATATATATATATATATATATATATATATATATATATTCAATTATGTGCGTGTGTGTGTATGTGTGTGTGTGTGTGCGTGTGTGTGTGACCAGACACGGAAAGACATATACAGATTACTATATTGAAGATAAAACACATACACACATATGTGAGAGTTGGGAGAGCACCTCGAGGCGACGTAATGGTTAGCAAGCTTGTCTTGCTAGAACAATTACGACTGAATAGTGAGTTCTGTCCTTACTGAGTGCCCCATACTTTCGGCCTTGTGCCACGTCTAAGATACGCTTGGAAAATCTACATATGAGTGTTAGGGAGTCATAAAAATGCACAGGTTCTTACACAGCAACCTCAGACTGAAATCGTACCAGCTTTTCTTGAAAAGAGTGTATTAAACATAAAATTTGATAGAACGCCTTCTAAGACTGTAAAAGACTTAATTAGTACAAATTCAAATAATAATAATCTGAAACTTAAAGAAGGAATATATTATTATATTGGATACTCGTATTTCAAATAGACGTCCCAATTTTTAATTTTTCCTTTAAACAGAGTATATTACGTCTATCGGCCTGAGTATTCGAGAAATCGTAATATAGTAAATGTGCTTTAAAGTAAATATAAAATGCTGCATTTATTCCAAATACGAGGTTCGATCCCGGCTTGGGATCACATTTTCTTCATTCTGTGGTGTCCTTCCTCTAAAGAGTCTATGTTGGACTCTTCCACCTACTACAAGATTAGTAGGAGAGAAAGCTTTGGGGGAACAATCGACCCAACTGTTCATTTCTGTCGAACTCTCTGCCTTGAGTAGAGAGGAACTCGGACGAGACTTTGCCGCAGGGCAAAGATTCGTCCACGGAGTTAGACAGTCCCTGAACCCGTTTATGCGAGCTTGGAGAACCCACGGTAAACTCGGCCTTGTGCCACATACATCCCTCGTGGGGGGGGCTGTTAAATATAACAGACGACAAGATTGTTCAACTGTCGAACTCTCTTGAGCAGAGAGGAACCCAGACGAAGCTTTGCCGAACCGTAAAGTTTCGTCCGTGGAGGTAGACAGACCCTGAACCCGCATATGCAGGTTCTAAGGGAATATTTTTGGCCGAGTCTACGGGCTCGGAAAACCCACGGTAAACTCGGCCTTGTACCATACAGCCCTCGTGCTGGTCAAACTCTCTGTCTCCGTGCAGAGAGGTTCCTCAGACGAGGCTATGTCGAAGTGCATAATCTCGTCTCGGGAAACAGCTACCCGACCCCGTTTATTACATGGTCTATGGGAAATTTTTGGCAGAGTCTATGGGCTCGGAACGCCGCACATTAAACTTGGCCTTGTGCCACATCCTACCTCGTGGTGTAGGCTGGTAAATATAACAGTCGAACCGATCTGTTCGCACTGTGCTGGTCAAACTCTCTGCCTCCGGGCACAGAGGATCCCTAGTAGAGGCTATGTCGAAAGGCAATCTCGTCTCGGGAAACATCTACACGACCCCGTTTTATACGGGGCCTATGGTGATTTTTTTGCCGAGTCTACGGGTTCGGTTTGTCCCACATTTAACTCAGCCATGTACCACATTTTACCTCGAGGGGAGGCTGGTAAATATAACAATCGAATAGACTGAACGCTGGGTCAACCGACACACACTCACTAGTCGGGTAATACTCTTCTGTTGTACTCACTATTTAATATATGATATACCTGTAACACTTGTTTTGCTATTTCTTTAACCATTTACTTGCTCACAACACTTTATTAAGATTTCTCGAATACGCAGGCCGATAAACGTAATACATACTTTTCAAAGTAAAAAATAATAATGGGGCGTCTATTTCAAATACGAGTATTCGCTAAAATAACGTTTGACGTAATAAGCTTGTCGGATTAAAAAAAATATCCCAATTAATTCTTTAGAAATTGCTTTGATTACGTTGCGGATACAAAATGCAATAGATAGGCGCTTTCAAGAAAAAAAAATTCTTAGTGAGGAAATGTCCTTTCCTTAGAAAGGGAAAGTGGAACATGGCTGAACTGTGACGCTCTCTGTAGCCGAGAGCTAAAGCACGCCGGATAACAGTAGTTTCTCCTACAAAACGGTGACGCAGGTTCTATACGGAGAGCACTTTTTTCTGTATTAATATTTCTCGAATACGCAAACCGATAGACGTAATACACACTGCTTAAAGGGAACATAATAAAATGGGACGTTTATTTCGAATACAAATAAATATTATAATAACGCTTGGAGTAATAAATAGACATATCTTCATACAAATGTAGATATTCATTAATTTGTACGCCTATATGCAGTAAATGCATTGCGTGTGTACACACACAAACGTACACTTATACAAGAATCAATCAGAAGTACACCTTTCTTCGTTCATTAATAAACGGCCACATAATGCTATGCATACATTTTACACACACATATATCATTACAAACAGCCGTGGTCAGAACACTTCAGCGTTGTGTAATAGTTAACAAGCTTATCCCGATAGAAGAATTACATCTGGATAGCAATATTGATAAACTTTTAAGTATATATTTACATATAGGCGAGTAGTTAGAACATTCGCCTTCTAACCATGAGATCCGGGTTCGAATCTCACCATTCTCGATTTGTCAGGAAGGAGACTTTCTAATCTTATCGGAATGATTCGATGTGCGTCACCTTTGGAAAGTGCCTGGAAAACCATACCACGTTTTGACTCAGGCTTTGTGAGTGAAATTGGGTTAGACGGAACTTCTTGCTTACACGAAGCCACAAGTCATCGTGCTGGCCTTGTTCAAATTGTTGATCACGCTAAATAAAATGCTCTTTCCCAGAAACTCTAACTAAAGTCGGCTCAGCATAGTTGCAGTATAAACCACATCTGGTGGACTTTTTGGGAGTTGAGCAAACTACCCTAGTAGACGGGTATGGTCGAATAGGAGTGGCCAGATATATTTATATGTTAAGTATGTTGGGTGAATATTTACATATAACATCATTTTCTTTTTAGAAATATTTAAATTATCTTTTTTCGTGGTCTGTGATTTTATTATGTAACTTGAGTGTTTCATTCCATATTGTAAATATTTAAATTATCTGGCGGTAAAAGAATTTATTATGCATCTTCACTGTTTTATACTACATTTTGTATATTTAATTTATCGTATTTCATGTTATGAGGTTTTATTTTGTAACTTGAGTTTTTTATAACATTGTAAATATTTAAATTCTATTATTTCATGGTGTGCAATTTTATTATGAAACTTGAATATTTTAAGCCATATTGTAAATATTTGAATTATCTTATTTCATGACATGCGTTTTTATTATGTAACCTGATTGTTCTATGTCATATTGTAAATATT